ATTTGTCTAATTCCTCAAGACTTTAGAAAGTTCAAAAAGATTCAGGGAATTTTTTTCATATATTCTCACTCCGATAATGAATTTTCAGAGAACACATTCTTAAACTGTCACAATTGTGTGATAGATACTCTCTGACTCTCAGAGTCAGATGATCTGATAGTCACTCTGATATTGTGTGTGGTATTTGAATTATCTTTCACTTTATACCCCTGCACAAGTATCAAAGCCTCACTGGTCAAGATATATTACTCTTCGCTTAAATTATTTATTAAGTTTCTGAGAATAAATGGCAATTTCTTAATCTTAATAGTTTTAGGGAAATCTACAGCTATTTTTGGAGTAGTCTGTGCTGAATGTACTAAATAATCCAATTAAGGATACAGACTTCTGAAAGCAAGAAAGGTTACTGAAGGGTATAATACTCAAATTGGCTGTCTTTGTGTGTCTTTTATGAAGAACAATGTGTTTTATTGAGAAAGCTGACAATAATTTCGTGAGAAAGTAGAATCATTTGAATAGATGATTTTCTTGAAGTGAAAAAAAATAAAGGAAGTATGTTCATTTGATTTTGGAATACAGTGGCCAAGAAATTAGAATCAATGGCTTTACTGCTCTTATTTTCTTTTCCTTTTCATCTTGTTAAATTCTCTAATAACTCTTATATTACTCAGGGAGTTCCTGTTTTCATGTCATCCTTAAATGTTTTTTGTGTTGCTCTGGGGAACTCACAGTAATTTAGTTTCATATTGTTTTTGCATTACAAGTGTAGCTGATGTTTAAAATGAATGGAGTATTGTAGTCTTAGCACTGGATGTACAGCCTACAAAGAACCTTTGTGAGCTGATTTTAGCAATATTTTCTAAGCACTTTTGCCAGAAACAAATAAAACCCCCCACATGCTTTAATATCAACCTTTTATTTTAAATGCTTGAGCTATATTTAATACCTGCTTATTTTACAGCCTTATGAAATATTTCTTGTATCTAGATATATATTCACAATGAACATTATTATTTGATGTTTGAATTATGTTTCTTTCCTATTTTTGTCTTCTCATCCCATCCACAGACCTATAGAGTTTATTTCAACAACTTTATTCTTACAAACAAAACTAACTTAGATGCATGCTGTTAAATTCGACATTATAACATTCTCGCTGCAAAGTAAACTCCATTGAATGTCAGGAATATGTGTTAGATTCCTGTTTGAGGAGATTTCAATCTTTCTCAGCAAAAAAAAAAAAGATGTGTCCATTGCATTTGGGAACATGGAGGTCATTGGTGACCTCGACAAAGGCAATTTCTTTTGATTTGTCAGGACAAAAGTCATATTGCAATGGATTGAGCAGAGATTTGGTGATGAGGAAGGGGAAACTGTGTTTATGTAGGCAACTCTTTTGAGAAATCTGTCTATAAAGAAGGACCGAGAAATGGGAAATGCTGGATAATACCTGTTTGCTGATGAGAATGATCCAATAAGGGGGGAAGATTGATGATGCAGAAAGAGCTAACTGAAGGAGTTAAGTCCCTAAGAAAGTGAGTGGGGATGATATACAGAGTGTATATTGACCTAATAGCCTTTGCTGGTAGAGGACACTGCCCCAGTTGCAAAGAGAGGAGGAATGCTAACATGGCTCAAGGTGTAGATAATTTAGTAGATTTAATAATAGAAAGACTGGAGAATTCCCTCTCTGCTTTCTTGATGAAAAAATGAAAGTCAGTGTCTGAGAGTAGGAAGGGAAAAAGTTTGAAGAGAAAGAACAAGTAATGAAATAATTTTTAGAGTGAAAAAAAGTTTGTTAGTTCCAGGAATGAGCGTCAATTTGAGGTTTGAGATTTGGCGTCTCAAATAGTAACTGCCACATAATGGGTACTTGATAAATATCTGTTGAATAAATTAGTGAATTTAAAGTGACCGTGCAGTTGTGTGATTTTTCTCTAGCTATGTTCAGCTGATCAGACAGACCATAAGGATGCAGGTTGTTCCAGGGGCGTTGCTGCTTTGCAAAGTGTATATGTGATTGAGGAAGATAGGGACAAAGGAATTGAGGATGTTTTCAAGGGAATTTTAAAAGACACAGAATAGTGTAAGGTATTTTCAAATATGGTTAAAATTCAAGAAAGTTTTGATGCTTTTATAAGCTTAACTAGTTAGAGCACAAGTGGTTCTTTACTTTGGATGTTTGGCTTGATATTATAGTTCTTTCTTTTGAGAATGGCATAAGTTTTTCAAAAATTGTTTTTAAAACTGAATTTATTTTGTCTGTGAAGAAGTAGACTGATTAAAAGAAAATAACTTAGTTCCCTAGGTTATTTCTTACAAAACAAAATTCCAGACTATTTTGTTTTCTAGAGAATTTTTTGAGTAGGAAATGTCAGTAGGCTGGGTTTTTTTTTAGTGTATTGTGTAAGAACACATTATTTTCTCAAATGAAAATTCATGTTGCAATATCTTTAAAAATGTCTTCAAATAATTGCATAATACCATTGTTATAAGTAGGAACTCAAATGGACTCAAGTTGTTTTGGATAAAACTTTTTATCTCTTAAAGATGATACTATTGAAAGAGTAGAACTGGGAAAGAAGCTTAATTATCACAGTGTTTTGCAGGGGGAAAGGTTTAAGAGTGTTTTCTTTATGCCATAAGCCCTTTTGTGCCCTGTTCGTCTTTGTGCCACAAATTAATTAAATTTTATTTATTATGATGAGGGTGAACGGCTGTTCATCCCTAAAATGAGTTGCCTACAGAGTTTGGCTGAATATGAACCCACACAGTTTTAAATATTTACAGAACTTAACTATGTCTTCAAGTTGAATGACTGGAAGATGGAAAATATTTAACTCCTTTGATTTATGGTCCATTTCAAATATACTCAGTTACCTTTACTAATAAAACCCAGAAAGCGTGATTTGTGGAATAGATTTACATTTTGTGAACCCTTTGTGATGCTCTGGTCTTACATATTTTCACAAAATAACTTCATCTTTTTTTTTTTTTGGAATTACTTGGGCTAGATTGTCTTTCGGAAACATCTTCACAGAAGTATGATTTAAGTTTGCAGGATCAAATTTTCAACTTCTACGAACTCTTCTGAATGTATTGTCCTCTGAGCTCCCATACTTTTTCCCGTAATTTCTTCCTCCTCATCATAATTATGACTAGTATATATTGAGTTCATACAAAAAGTGAGACTATATTATTATTTTATATACATTACCTTGTTTAATCCTCATAGTAACCCTTTGATATATGTTGTATTATCTTTATTTTACAAATTAGAGAAATTGATGTTTAGAGAGATTTAGAAACTTACCAAAGCTCATAGGGTAGACAGTTATGAAGTTTGAGTTTGAACCCAATTCTCTTAGACTCTAAAACCTGTTTTCTTCCCATTAAGTTATATATTGTATATCTATTTCATTGTATTATATTATAATTGAAGTCTTGTGCTCATCTGGCTTCCCTACCAGACTGTGACCCTCTGGAGGACAAGGACCTTGTCTCATTCATATTTATATCTTCAGTGCCCGTTACAGACCCCAGAACTTTTTAAATGAGTCTTGTAGCAGTGAGGCATATGCTATGAAGTAGTTTCTCTAGTATAGGCAATTTCTAGCTTTACTGCTTCACATACCTCATGCCCTTTTGATGTATTGCCATTTATAGTTATAAACACACGTGTGTGCCCAAACATACACACACACTCTCTTTCATCTTCATCAGTCTTGTGAAATTGAGAATGTTTGCTCTCATTTTGTAGATGTAGAAAATCAAGATCTAGAAAAAATGAGACTTGGTCAAGATCACACAACTAGTTAGTGGCAAATCTGGGAAGCAAATCCAAATTTTCAGACTTTAAGTCATATAATCATCTACTCCAGGCTATCCATTTATGCTGATGGAAATCTCTACTTTATTTCTCTGTGTTTATTTGCTTATTGAGAAATGAAGGCAACAAAACAAAGATGTCCACAAATAGATTATGTCTAACAGAAGAGACCTTGTGTTCGAGTGATGAATGTGTGCTCTTTTTTCAATCTTTTTAGATAGTCTTTCACTTATTTTCCTTTATGAGGCATAAATTTTGAGAAAAGTAATTATAGTTAGAATTTTATTCAAGGAATAAAATAGCTCCAACTAACAAATATAGGAAGATTGAACCCAGGACCATATCATATTCTAATCACCTCAGTACAAGTCTAGCAGGATTCCTGATACGCAGAATGTATTGAGGACTTAGCATTGTAGACTAATGAAGTGATATGCTTTCTGAATAGAAAGATTTGCTTTACTAACCCCTGAAAGAATGATACAGTTGCAGGCAATCTGGTGTTTTTGTGTAGAATAATTATGTCAGCATAATTTATACATTGTAATACAGGGATTTAAAGTCAAAATTTACACCTATACCTGTATTATGAAGCATGATATAAAGAGTACATTTAACATATCTTAAACATTTAAAAATTTTACCTACTATGCCCATATCATTTTTTTTTTCAGTAGAATTGTTTCCTAAATGAAATCGATCTTGGATCTGTGTATCAGCGTTTTTGACATGTTTGGTAATATAATCCATTTTTTTCTAATCATGCTAAAATGACTGTGAAAGATTGGTAAAATTTGAGTAGGTAGTGTGTATGGTATTAAATTATGAATTAGAAAGACTTTAGACCTTATTGCTTATCAACATTTGAAGGTGCTAGTATTTGATCTTCTGTGGACAAATTGCCTCCAAATTTTAATCTGGAAAATCACTGGAATAGCTGTTTGGAGAAGGTTTACAACTACATGGCTTTTATAATTTTACTACTTCTATTAGGATTTCTATACAGATGATTCAAATGTTGATTATAAAAGAGAAAATTGAAGTGTAAAAACATTATTCAAATAGCATGTAGGGTATTACCGCCATGTTGTTTCTGTATTTAGTTTTATTCAGTCATAGATGCAAAGCAGAAGTATGTAATGTATCACTGGATTTTATTTTGCTTCATTAGCTCCTCAAGAGTTATTGATCTATGAAATGGCAGAGAATGGAAAAAATTGTGACCAGAGACGTGTAGCAATGAACAAGGAACAATATAATGGAAACTTCACAGGTAAAGTAGGGTGGTTTGGAGGGAGAGGGTCTACGGGTTTAAATGATATCCTTTTCACTGGAATAAAATAGAAATATATCTAATATTTATTATCTTTCGTTATTAAAATAATATATAAGATTAATTATCTTTTATCGTTATAGTAAATTAAATTATGGATTAGGGCCTATAGGGTGATTTTCCACAGTGATAGCAGAAGCAGCCTGGCCACAGTCATATCAGTAGTGCTCTAGGTACAAAATTATTATTTGTTTTTTTTTGTTTTTTTGTGAAGAAGATTAGCCCAGAGCTGACATCGATGCCAGTCCTCCTCTTTTTGCTGAGGAAAATTGGCCCTGGGCTAACATCCATGCCCATCTTCCTCTACTTTATATGGGACAGTAGCCACAAGCATGGCTTGACAAGCGGTGTGTCGATCCACGCCTGGGATCCGAACTTGCAAACCCTGGGCCACCAAAGCAGAGTATGCAAATTTAACCGCTACGCCACCAGGCTGGCCCCAAAATTATTATTTGTTAATCTTATGGTATGGTAAGTATTTATTTGGCTTTGTGTGGTGCTCAATTTTTTCATGCTATTTTGTAACTTTAGAAGTAGATTACAATTTACTTATTACACTAATCCTAAATATACAATTATCAAAAAAATCAGAATGTGATTATTGTAGGTTTATTTTAAAATTTTAGTTTGAGACAAATACATTTATATTTGAACCAAATTTGGAATTTGTGGTAAATTTCAGTATATTTGACTCATTCATACCATGAAAATTATAGCTTTTATTTATATAGATGATTTAAGTAGGAACTTTCCTTTATGTTTTTAAAGAAAATGAAGGTTTTCCTTTTCTGTTAATTGTAATGGTTTTCTTTTTAACTTCTAAAGTGTTTGGCATCTCAAACACATTGCAAATAATACTCCACCATGGTAATAGTATATCATAGAAATTCTCTTCTATTGGAAGAAATGCAAGCTATCTGAAATAGTTTTAGTTTGTTTTGATCACTACATTGTCTTGCATAACACATTTTGCAGCACTTATCTGACTTTTGGGTTACTTTGATTGTCAGTACCTTTTGCATCATTTTACCAAGAGTTTCAAGATTCAGAGATATGCATTTCATATGTCATAGTCTCTTTCTATTAGGAGCTTTTGCATGTTATTTTTTCTTTCCTTTCTTTCAACAAGCACATACATTTATATTTCTTCCTCTACTGCTCACCCCTTTGGAATTTCAAATTAGTGTTAGTATAACACACTAAGTATAACACACTGTACCATGGGTTTTTTTTTTACTTAATATTTTCTAGAGATTGTGCTATAACTGTACATGAAGAGCTTATTCTTTTTTATGGCTGCTTAGTATTCCATTGTATGAGTGTACCATACTTTAATCACTCCTCTGTCCTCTGTTTGGTAGCATTTAAGTTGTTTATAATCTTTTGCTAGGACAAATAACGCTGCATTGAATAAACTTCTTCACTTCACTTTACACCTAATCATTCTTAGAAATGGAATTATTGGGTTATAGGATATATGCATTTGTAATTTCCATAGATGATGCCGATAACAACTAACCTTAATTGCACGCTTACTGAGTGTCAAACTGTATTGAGAGCTTTACATATATTAACTCATTTAGTCTTTACAATGACCCTAAAAAGTAAGTACTATTTTTAAAAATTATTTTATTGTGGTCATGTTGACTTATAACATTGTGTAAATTTCAGGTGTACATTATTATATATCAATTTCTATATAGACTGCATCATGTTCACCCCCAATAGTCTAGTTTTTATCCGTTGCCATACATATGTGCTCCTTTACCACTTGCACCCTCCCCCTGCTCCCTTCCCCTCTGGTAACCACTAGTCTGTTCTCCTTATCTGTGTATTTGTTTATCTTCTACATATGAGTGAAATCATACGGTGTTTGTCTTTCTCTGTCCAGCTTATCTCACTTAGGATAATACCCTCAAGGACCATCTGTGTTGTTGCGAACGGCGCATTTTTGTCTTTTTTGTGGCTGAATAGTATTCCATTGTATATATATCCCACATCTTCTTTATCCATTCATCCACTGATGGGCACTTGGGCTGCTTCCATGTCTTGGCTATTGTGAATAATGCTTCAGTGACCATAGGGATGCATAAATCTCTTTGAATTGTTGATTTCATGTTCTTTGGATAAATAGCCAGTAGTGGGATAGCTGGATCATGTGGTATTTGTATTTTTAATTTTTTGAGAAATTTCCGTACTGTTTTCCGTAGTGGCTGCACCAGTTCGCATTCCCACCAGCAGTATATGAGGGTTCCCTTTTCTCCACATCTTCTCCAACATTTGTTGTTTCTTGTCTTGTTTATTATAGCCATTCTGACAGGTGTAAGGTGATATCTCATTGTAGTTTTGATTTGCATTTCCCTAATAATTAGTAATGTTGAACATCTTTTCATGTGCCTGTTGGCCATCTGTATCTTCTTTCGAAAAATGTCTGCTCATATCCTCTGCCCATTTTTGATCAGGTTGTTTGTTTTTTTGTTGTTGAGTTGTATGAGTTCTTTATATATTTTGAAAATTAACCCCTTGTAGGATATATGATTTGCAGATATTTTCTCCCAGTTGGTGGGATGTCTCTTTGTTTTGTTCATGGTTTCCTTTGCCTTGCAGAAGCTTTTTAGTCTGATGTAGTCCTGTTTGTTTGTTTTTTCTTTTGTTTCCCTTGCCTGAGTAGACATGGTGTTCGAAAAGGTATGCTAAGACCGATGTCAAAGAGTGTACTGCCTATGTTTTCTTGTAGGAGTTTTATGGTAGTAAGTACTGTTTTTAATCTTCATTTTAGAGAACAGAAAACTGAGGCGTAGAAAGGTTAACTAACTTGCCCAAGGTCACATGACTAGTAAGTTCCACAGCCAGGATTTAGGACCAAGTAGTTTGCCTTCACATTTTGAGCTCTAAACCACTTTGCTCTATGATATGATGCTAAATTGTCCTTCATAGAAGGTGGTCCAATTTAGTATTCCAATAATGTACAAGAAGAGAAACTTGTGTCCTGACAATAAAATAATTGCAAAAATAATGTTAAGAGTAGAGCAGAAGCACCTAGCCAGACTTGTCACAATGTGAACCCCATTGTTTGTTTTTTGAGGTTTGTATGCAGTCCGTCAAATTTGGGATGGGAAGGTAGATGAATTTTGAAAGTGATTGGAAAAAGTGAGCATTCTCTTTTATCTTCTGCACTGATGTTTTTCAGACCCCTCTTCAGTGAATGAAAAGAAGAGGAGGGATCGGGAAGAAAGGCAGAATATTGTCCTGTGGAGACAGCCACTCATTACCTTGCAGTATTTTTCTCTGGAAATCCTAGTAATCTTGAAGGAATGGACCTCAAAGTAAAGAGTCTTCCATTATCTTTTATATAAACCAATTTACTGATTTTAGAAATCTTCAGCAATCTCCTACTCCCTGCCACCTGCTCTATCAAAATGGATTAATTAAATTTAGAATGTTATAGGAACATATTTAATTGCTTTTCTATAGTTTGAAGAAAAATAGATTAGGGGAACAAATTGCTATTTGCTCACTGGATTATTACAGTTGACCATTGTCTCATGTTGAACCTTTTATGCAAAGGAGAACACTGAAAGCAAGATTTTTTTTCTTCTGGCTTTACCTTCAGGGGAAATCAGGCCCATGTACTTTAGATAGATTGATTCTTTAGTAGGACAAGATTCAGGAAACGTGGCACTTTTATTGATAGTTTGAGCCAACGAAAAAGGACTCTGCTGTGGAAACGTATGCTATCTTTAAATTTAGTACTTTTAAGCCCTGTTTCAAATTTCATAAAGAACAAGTTGAACTTTTACATGCCTTATCATTAGCTGGCTTGCCATTCCAAGTTATTATCTGTAATAATATCTTATGTTTTTATTGCACTTACAGTTTATAAAACATTTGTAATTTTTTTTAAATTTTTATAAAAATTTGTAATAAATTTTTCAGTTTATTTCATCCTTAAAACAACTCCATGAAGAAAGTAGAACAAGTATATGATTATTATGAAATGATTGTGATGATTGTTATGATTTTAAAAGCAAGAAACAATCAGATTCGTTAAGTGTCGTGCTCAAAGTGCAATATTTAAGGGACTCTGACCCGGATCCTCTGACTTGAAGTCCAGTGTTCTTTCTGTTATATTATAATGTCTCTCCCCATTAGAAGTTGGGGTGTAAACCAGATCAGTCTTTGGTAAAGGAAAGGCTACGATGGGTTTATGCTAAGAAATTGGGTTCTAAACCCATATATCTTTCCTTTACCCCCTTCGGCACCCCAAGAGACCATATTTTTTAAGGGCAAAAGAGCTCAACCCAGAAAGAACTGATTCTCTACCTGAGCTAAATAACCCAACTGCTTCAACAAGAAATGATTTTGAGAGTGATGAACCCTGAAAATTAGACTGTGAGATATTTCATTTTTTTTTTAATTTGTTTTTAAGATTATGGCATCGTCAAAGCATTGTGGTGTCTTTTTTACTGCTGCTTGCTGTGCTTATAGCTACGTATTATGTTGAAGGAGCACATCAACAGGTAAGAGGTTCAGCAACTCTGTTTCTATTCTTGTGCCTTCCCTAATCCCAAAAAGTTTTAAAATGGGACTATTGTGAGTGTCATAGAATTTCTACCCTCAACATTTTTAGGCTTGGTTTTGCTTTTTCAGTTCATCTCGTAACTGGTATTTTAATGTCTTACTTTTAAAGCCACATATTAAAAATATTTTTATAGTAGTTCATGGCTGCTCAGTATTTATATTTGGTATATATCATTCCTTTTGACCTTCAAGGATTTAAATATAACTTTCCTGACAGTGTTTAGTCAAAGCAAAATGAATCCTTTACTCACTACCAAAGTCTTCCTATTTTCTATAACATATTCCTGTGATCCATTCAAACAGATATACACATCCTAGATTGAAGGTTAGGTTTTATATATATAAAAAGGAAACTTCATTTGCCTATGGTCTGTAAATACAACAAAACTGAAGAGAAAACAGGACATTTTGTTAATAACTTTAATAAAAATTTTTGTAACTTTTAAATATCTTTAAAGTTTTTGTTCTCATAGTTATCTTATTAGTAATTTGCATTCTTCCTATAAATGTCATTGCAATAGTAGGACTTTAAAGGTCTAGAAATAAAAGCTTTATTCCAATTAGATCAATTTTTTGCCATCTCTGCTCTTGCTTAGTAGAGGAGTTAGGCCTCTTCAAGGGGTTTTTAATCTTAATACTATCTTCCTATTGGAAACTTCTTTTAGTTAGTTTGTTTTATTTTGATTGTAGTTGATAAATATCACATTTCTGTTTAAGAATTCTGGTTTTGTTTTTTTCACTTCATCCCTTTTGTTTTTCAGTATGTGCAACGTATAGAGAAACAGTTTCTTTTGTATGCCTACTGGATAGGCTTAGGAATTTTGTCTTCTGTTGGGCTTGGAACAGGGCTGCACACCTTTCTGCTTTATCTGGTAAGAATAACTTTTAATAAGCAAGATTGAAAGAGATTATGTTTTAATTGGTGCTTTTACTTCAGAAGTTAAAATTTTAAGATTTTTATTTAATTACCTTTGTGTTTTATAAGCATTCTAATCCTCAAATCAGTGCTTTAAGTTTGATTTAGAATTGTTTTGTTTTTCCTTTGGGGTTGAGGATTTGAAAAGAGAAGGGAAAAAAAAGCTTAGGCAAATGAGATTGTTTACTTAAATTTAATTCAGCCAGCAAATGTTTTTCCTTCCAGATTTTGGAATAATAGTTCTCTTGCTTATGTAATTGTTGTTTTAATAGTTGAAGTTATTTAAGTGTAGAAAATTCCATGTAAGGCTTAAAACTAATTTAGACAGTTTACTTTCTCTGTTAATCAGCAAACAAGAAATGGTGTCTTCCCTCCCATCCTCAAACACCCTGTACACACCTGAATAGTTATTTTGGTATTCTTATTAAATGTAGTTGATGAAGTATTACATATGTAGAACTGACTGCTTTCTTAAACCCTTTTAAACCAAACTTTAAAATGTAACCCTCCTAAAGAATATTTTTTTACTTAGTTGAAATTAGAAATATAAAAGGTCAGTTTTCCTTTGAACATTGACAAATATGCTGAAATAATAGCAGAGCTAGGACTAGGAGGTGATGAGCAAGACATCTAGGGCACAGGATTTAAATAGGCACTTTCAGGGTCATGTAAGTGTTGGGTGATGAGTGAATGCCTCATTAAATTTTGCGCCCTGGTTGCCTCTTTAGTTTTGCTCTCTTCCTGTCCCTTAAGAATATATTAAAAATAATTCCATATTTGAAAACAGCTTGATCTTGTTTAGGGAAAAACAGATGAAAAGGTATCACAGCAGTGGTACTGATTGCTGAATAAACTTCAACACTGCAAACACTTCCAGTCTCTTTGCTTCAATGAATTAATTTCTGAAGAAGGAGTGATAAGAGTTAAGGGATGATTGTTCAGAAAGCTGCTGAATCAATGGTCTGAAAAATAACTTGAGAATTAATCTATAATACATAACTTCTTCAAGTTTATGGGAGTTTAAAACCTGGAATTTGGGAATTCTGTTCATGATTGCTTGTTGATTTTATCCCAAATATAGACATAAATCCTAGGGAAGTAACCCATATTGTTGTTTCTTTAATAACTACATTCTTAGAAGTATAATACTACACTAGACGTTGAGGCAGAGGGGAAAAGAAGGAATTACAGCTTACACGTTACCTTTCTGTCCTTTTCTAGACCTGCCCTCTAAGATTCCTTGGGAAAACCAGATTAAGGAACTCATTTGTAGCATTTGATTAATTTGGAAATATGTAAAAAGCAACCCAGATAGCAGATTCTGCTGAACCTTAAAAAGGATTCTAATGAACCTTATAAATTGCACAATAAATTAGAATAAAGAAATTTGAAACGTGTGAGTTTCATACTTCCTGTTTCATTTCTTATCCATGAGAAACTTTATAAAATGACATTTATAAAATGTCTTGATGTGAAAACATTATTTAGTTCCATTGATCCATGTATCCAGTAAAGGATTTAGAAATATACAAGTAAGCATTTATTGCAAAATTCATTTGAGTGAAAAATCAAGTATTTGCTTCCATAAATTAAGTAGTTATTTCTGCCGCTGATCAGAGTGCGGGTTTAATGGAATATGGTTAGACTTTTCACAAGTTTAGAAGGAATTCTTCAAGAGCTATTTGAAGGAAGATATCACTCTCTCATTATACATACTCAGTACTATATATATTATACTGGTTCAGCAAGTATGACATATAATCAAGGAATATCTGAAACTGTGTTGTGTTATGCATAAAAGCTATATAAAAGCTTTGTGGCATTATCTCTGCTCGTAATAAACTGGGGTCCAGGCCACTTTTTTCAGCATTAGGTAAATTTGATTTTTGTTTGTTTTTTTGTGAGTAGCATTTAGAATTATTCTGAAAGCCTTAAATTAAATACAAGTAAAATAACCAGATCTGCATTCTATGAATATATAATTCGGGCTATAGTGTAGGAGATAGATTGAAAGTGGGAGAGAAGATGGGCAGTTATGATAATGCTTCTGAGAGACATGGGCTTCCATAGAGGTAGCAGGAAGCATGGAGAAGAAGGGGTATTTACAAAAGATAATTTGCAGAGAGAAGTCAAGCAGAATAAAGACAAAAGATGGCATAAATCTTTATTTCAAAAGAGTAGTTGGAGTGGCAGTGGCATTGGAATGAAACAGGACAAATCTTAGAGAAATTTTATTGGTGCAATTAACAAGATGTTGTGGTTCAGTATGGGGGAAGAAGGAGCCAAAGATAACTGTTGGTTTTTGACTTGAGAGAGGAGATGTTGATACCATTAACTGAATAAAAAACAGTTATGTCTTCACTTGTTCATTCAATACATACTATAAGTATCTAAAAAGAGAAATTTAAAGAGATAGTGTAGGGCCGGCCCCGTGGCTTAGTGGTTAAGTGCGCACGCTCCACTGCTGGCGGCCGGGGTTCGGATCCCTGGTGCGCACCGACTCACCGCTTCTCTGGTCATGCTGAGGCCGCGTCCCACATACAGCAACTAGAAGGATGTGCAGCTATGACATACAACTATCTACTGGGGCTTTGGGGGAAAAAAATTAAAAAAATAAATAAATAAAATTTTAAAGAGATAGTGTAATTATGTTGCAAGGTAAATGAGATCTTCACCTGATCCAGGTGGGTTGCTGGTGCCAGTAGTTGGATGGAAAGAAAAGGGAAATTTGTAAAGAACTAAGAATACTTTCTTTTCCTTTTTCTTTTTTTTTTTTTTTTTTAATTTAATAGACTTTATTTTTTAGACTAGTTTTAGGTTTACAGAAAAATTGAGCAGAGGGCCGGCCCCATGGCTTAGCGGTTAAGTACGCGCGCTCTGCTGCTGGTGGCCCGGGTTCAGATCCCGGGCGCTTCTCCGGCCATGCTGAGGCCGCGTCCCACATACGGCAACTAGAAGGATGTGCAGCTATGCCATACAACTGTCTACTGGGGCTTTGGGGGAAAAAATACATAAATAAAAAAAAAAATTAAATTAAAAAAAGGCTGGGAAAAAAAAAATTGAGCAGAAAGGATAGAGAGTTCCCATATAGCTTTACACATACATAGGCACGCACACATATCTTTTTAATTGTGGGGGTTTTTTTGATAAACTTAAAAATCCCCTTTTTAAAAAATTTTTTTAATTGAGGTATAATTGACATATATTAGTTTCAGGTGTACAACATAATGATAGTTTCCTGTATTATTAACATCTTGCTTTAGTGTGGTACATTTGTTACAATTAGGGAACCAATATTGATAAATTATTAACTAAAGCCCATTGTGACATTAGAGTTCACTCTTTGTGTTTTACAGTTCTATGGGTTTTACATAATACATAATGTTATGTTATCCTCCATTACAGTTATCATAAAGAATAGTTTCACTGCCCTAAAAGTACTCGTGCTCCATCTGTTTATTCCTACCCTCCTGACTCCACAACCCACTTAGCAACTACTGATTCTTTTACTGTCTCTAGAAATTTTGGCTTTTCTAGAGTGTCATATAGTTGGAATTATACAGTATGTCTCTTTTTCTGCCTGGCTTTTTCACTTAGCAATATGCATTTAAAGTTCCTCCATGTCTTTTTGTGGTTTAATATCTCATTTCTTTTTATTGCTGAATAATATTCCATTTTCTGGATGTGCCAACACAGTTTATTTATCATTTCACTTATTGAAGGACATCATGGTTGTTTCCAGGTTATGGCAATTATGAATAAAGCTGCTGTAAACATCCGTGTGCAAGTTTTTGTGTGGATATGAGTGTTCAGCTCATTTGGGTAAATACCTAGCACATGATTCGTGGATCATGTATATTAATTGCTGGTATATAGGAAAGCTTGACTTTTGTGTATTAACCTGTATCCTACAACCTTGCTATAATCACTTAATAGTTTTAGTACTTTTTTGTCGATTCTTTGGGATTTTGTACATAATCATTTCATCTGCAAATAAAGACAGTTTTATTTCTTCCTTCTCAGTCTGTATACCCTTTCATTTCCTTTTCTTTTCTTACTGCGTTAGCTAGGTCTTCCAGTATAATGTTGAATAGGAGGGGTGAGAGAGGGGCATCCTGCCTTGTTCCCCGTCATAGTGGGAAAGCCTCTAATTTCTCACCATTAAGTATCATGTTAGCTATAGGTTTTTTGCAGATGTTCTTTATCAAGTTGATGAAGCTAACTTCTATTCCTGGTTTGCTGAGAGTTTTTATCATGAATCGGTGTTGATTTTGTCAAAAGAACACTTTTTTAGACAGTAGTGATCAGAAATGGATAAAAGGCCAATATAGCAAACATATTCAGTATGTAAAGGATTAGAGAGTAATATGTTAATGTTAAAAAGAAGTATGAAGAGAGACCTAGTGTATGCCATTTCCATTTGACCAGATTATCTTTAGTTCTTACATCTTTTCATTTAGTCACAGGCTTTCCTTCCAGTATTCCCTAGGTATAACAGGGAGAATGAAGAAAAATGAGCATTTACAAAAAATAATTTTCGGAGAAGTCAAGCAAAAGGAAAATAAAAGATGTCACTGGTCTTTGTTTACTTTTCAATCACCTGGTTGGGATGGAAGTCAGATTGCAATAAGTTAACTACTACTAATACTACTAATAATGACAATAAACATTATCATCGTTACTGTCATTGTAGTAATACTAGCTAAAGTCAATTCTATTATTTTTTACCCATATTTGTTGTTCATTTTTGTGGTATCCATACCGGTGAGGAGATTTTGCCTCCCCATCCTATTGAACTCCAGCCATAATTTGCTTTGACCAATGAAATATGAGCATAAATGATAGGTGTTGCTCCCTGGCAGAAGCTTTAAGGTTTGTCATACTCTCTTTCACCTACCTATTGTGTCAAGACGGAGCCTGAGTCTCTGAGTATGATGAGTAGATTCCCTTTTCCAG